GTTACTCACTTAATGTGGATCTCAAATCTAGAGTTTGCTCTGGTGCCAGGGTTTGCACATCGTGGGAAAATCTCAGGCGTACGACAGTTTAGTACCTGCCTTGCTATAAATATAGATTAAAAAGCCCCGGGGTAGGTCTGACTCCGTCACACACCTACCTGACATGACCTAGGCCGTGTTGTACAAGGCCGAGTCTATTTGGTATCATAGGAGGCTCATTTATTTTTAAAGATTGTGATTACGTCCAGTATTGGGACGAATGGTACATGACTGTACAACGCTTAAATTAGGTTACGTCACAGATAGCTTTTGACAATTTTTGCCTTTCTCAGCCCTGAGGCTGCGAAAGGCACTCAGACCACAATTAAATTTCCTTCCGTCCTCCCGCGTTCCAGTTGGTAATGTACTAGCGACACATTGCGTCCCTGCAGATTCGGTTATTTTGCTAAAGGCCATGCAAGACTATTCCTATGGTATTGAAGCATTTTTCTCATTACCTATTCATTCATATCTATAAATATGCCGGGTTTGAAATTCCCATCATGAAATACAGTTCTTTTTTAGAATTTTCTCATTAAATGTGAAAATGATTTGCTACATATCGGGCAACCACAAATGCATTGCTACGTCTTCCACGTTCTTAATAGCAGGAATGACCGGGCATGTAACTTGCCCTGCAAAACGTTTTCGTAGAATATTTTCAAATTGTATTGTACCTGCAAGGTAAAGAGAAAATAAGTAATAAGTAAAGCGTTTTTGCGTATGTTCAACTGATGTACATGTAAGTCGCACCTCGTTCCTCTTAGTGAATACAACACGTAAGAAAAGTCCAAACCATAGCGGTACTTGTAGAAAGAATTCGAAAGTCTTTCCTTCCGCCATGCCGTCTTAGGCAAGATGGCGGACCTAATCAATGTATGAAAACAACAACGACGAGCAGTATTGAGAGTACTGAGTGCCGTGCGGACGGAAGACGGTAGTATTCGAAACTGTGACCAAAGTATTTTATGCACTCATTTTTACAAACAGGTCGTAATGTTTTTGGGTATAAAGCGCGGGTTTTTAGCTGTAGGCTGTAAAGAAAACCGGTTCTTTCGGGCGGTTCTCTGCATCGGATGATGTCATTGCACCTTCTAATGATCTAATTATCTATAATTTGTCCGTACTATATTTGCGTTTTGTTGTAAACGTCACATTTTTAATGTTATAATGGTATACGGTATAGGAGGATAGCCAGTGTGTCCTTTATTTCTCTTCTGCTATGTGTTAAAGTAAAGGCAATTCAGTTAATTGCACAACGGTGTGGATTTTTTTTCTAAGAAAACCCGACACAGAATCTTAGCCAACTTGTTCAATTATAAGAGAGCTAACGTTTGTTAAAGATGTATGACTATCTCACAGTTACCCTTAGTTTAAAGTAGTGATAGAGATCGTGCAAAGAATGTCAAATAACTAAATGTAAGGGCCACTTAATTTCTGGTACATCGATACTGATTAAACTCTTAAAGCGAGGGTCGCAAGACTCGCAACCCGCCGTACGTTCAACTGCGTGCTGTCTACGAGCAAAAACGTAGGCAAATCTGTGGAACCCGTACGTCGTGAGTACCCCCTCTGTACGGAATCCAACGGATATGGGAGCACGAGAACGTAGTACTTAAAGTGCATGTAAAACTTTCTATGCGTGCGGGCTGCGGATTCACCCCCTGTGCAAATCAGTACGGGCGACGCGCGTGTCATGTACGTACCGATACGTACCGTACGGTATAAGTACGGCCTGCATACTTGTGTCAATCGCACAGAATCGTACGTTGATAGCACGCAGAACTCACTAACCACTTGCGCAACGAACGTTGCAAGCGACCGCTCACGGCCAGGCGTGGCGTGCAAACCACATACACATTGCGCAATCCTGAGAGTGACGTGTGTTATCGTAATGCTCATGGCAGTCCTTCCTCACGTTTAAAAAAAACGTAGCAGACGTGGGCTCCCATAAAAAAGGTACGGACAAAAAAACACGTACGGCGGAAAGACTTTAAGTGTCACATAAGTGTTGCTATAGTACAGTTCCTCCATAGCCTGACTAAAAACCCTATGAAAAAAAAGAAAAATAATTGGCCACGAATGTAATGTTATCCCAGCTAAAATAAAAAAAAATTAACGGTTCTTTTAAAATCTTTGTAAAAATCATATGACAAAACATATCGGCGAATACAACATGAGTGTTTAACAGAGATAGATGAATATAACTGCACAACGAAATATATTCCCACGCCCTATAAATGTCACATGAGTAATAAATACTGCCATACGACGAATCGACCATTTGCTCTACCGTAGCGTAGCTAAAATCCTACACCCTTAAAAAGGTGACGATTGACAAAATGTTAAATGGCCATGCCAAGTCGAACACATATGTTGATAGTTTCTGATAGATTTTTGTCAGGTTAGTTCATACTGTAAATCCCCAAGGAACAAATCGTTTGACAAACGCAATTTGTCAGCGCTCTAAGCAAGATTTTTAAAAAAGTCTCTGAAATGTTTACCTTTGTGTATGGATTCTGTTGCCGATGTCTTGTAATTTTCGCAGAAGTCCACAGGTCACTTTTGTAAACAGCTCCTCAGATAGATCTAGGAAACGGTCTGAGGTTTGAATGGTAACTGGCGGTACCGCGGTATTGTTTGCACATCGTGGGAAAATCTCAGGCGTACGACAGTTTAGTACCTGCCTTGCTATAAATATAGATTAAAAAGCCCCGGGGTAGGTTTGACTCCGTCACGCACCTACCTGACATTACCTAGGGCGTGTTGTACAAGCTAGGCCGAGTCTATTTGTTATCATAGGAGGCTCATCTTTTAAAGATTGGGATTATGTCCAGTATGGGGATGAATGGTATATGATTGTACAGGTTACGTCACACGTAGCTGTTGACATATTTTTTCAAGAGTTACCGATCGCATGCACCTGAGTGACGTAACACACTCCCGACATTCGATAGTTAACTTCAAACACGGAACCCCGACATATACGGGTTAGACATGGCGGAGATTTACATGTGTATTTCGACACTCATAACTGCGTACTTCATACATTTACCCTCCTCATACAAAGTGTGCTTGTCATGTCACGCTGGGGCTACTTTAGTCTAAAATGTCACTCGTGATTAGTACACCGAGCACGCCCCAGTAGGCCTTGTACGTAGTTAGCCCCTTCATCAAAAGCCCAAATAATCTCTGTACAGATTCGTATTCTATATTCATAATATTCATCACAGAAACTAAACACCACAGAAAACAAATTTAAATCTGGCACGGAAGTAAGGGCATTAATCAATAAATTCCAAAATTCAAAGGTTGTAATAGACTACTGCTGGCCTTACTACTGGGCATCTCCAGGCTTACGGTAAAGCCACAGCGCCACCTACCGATGTGCTGAAGAATTTCAGATGTCTGCACTGTGCAGAGGCGCATGTTTATATACGTTTCTCCCAGGTGGCCCCGACGATTAACGCACACCTTTTACAAAGATATAAGGCCACACCGACTTAATTGTATGGATGACATCCTCTGAATACCCCCAAACCAGTGCACGCAGGCGAATAAAAAATTCCGGCCAAAAATAAAAATGCTACTAAACCAAAGGAATATAAAGCTGGTATTGTGAATTTGTGGCAGTGCATAAAAACATATACGACACGGCGGCACATGCTGGCTTTTTGCGGCACATGCTGGCTTTCTGCCTTTGCCCCCCACAAGATCGGTGGCATGTCAGGACTCGAACCCGGGACTTCTAGGTTCCGAGTCGAGCACTCTGCCGCTACGCCACACGACCCTATAACGTCACAAACTACACGTTCCCTGTGCATGTTAAAAAGAACACAAAAATTGTCTATTTGTTGTCATATTTGAACCATAGTAAGTCAATTAATGTTGAGCACAAAATGCCCAAACACCTCAAAACACACAGAAAAACAAGCTGTTTAACGTTAACGTCTATAGGATACCTCCCTGCGCTATGCAACATGGGAGATTTTACCTCCCCGCGGCCCGGCGCAATGCGTCATGGGAATGGGAAACTAATGAATGCTTGTGGCGATAAGTAGCCAATCACAATGGACAATAGGTGTGAAACACATGTTCCTGCATGGCCCCTCGTACTAGGACAGCGGTGCTTATTAATTTTATTGGCTACTTTGTCTGTACTGATTTCTAGTTGTTGCACTAGAAAACTACTCCCTTTTTAAACGCCTTGGCGTAGTATTTCTTCCTCAAACATACATTGAAAGGGAAATACACACATATACATGTCTATATACCCTGAATTACGTAGGTTTGTAACAAAACATTGTGCGTACTATATGTGCTGAATATCGTATGTGCATGAGACTGACAAAAATACATAATATAGTAACAAACACTAAACAAACATCCGAGCTCACAGGCTGATGGTTGGGCTAGGTAATAGAGTTATTATAAATTATGACTTAAACAATCTACAACTGTTTTTCTGTCCCAAACAAGTCCTCTTTTTACGATTACGCGACCTGCTCCAAAGCGGCTGTGTCAAAAGCAAAACCTGCATTTTTGAAACGCTCGTCAACCCCCAAACAAGCGTCGAATTCAAACACATTTTTCACTCGTCTGTTGTCGGAGTGTACAGATCTAGAATAAAACAAACTTTGTGAGGTTACCGATATCAACACAGATACTTTGTCCATTCTTGTGGTTATTTTTAGTCACGTGCTCCCATGCATAACGCCGCAACAAGGATTTTTCAAACTAGTAGGGAATTAGGGATAGGTCGGAATTAGGGGTAGGTCGGAATTAGGGCACCCCCTGTTATAAACAAACCTGCCTCACTAGAAGTCTGCACGCGACTATGCGACTCTTTGTTTTGGATCGTTCTGCTGCGGTGTCAAATTTACTTCCTTGTCTTTTGTGCGGGCGTCACGCCTGACGTCAGGTGTCCAGGTAACTAACACCTGTTTGAGATTGGGTCTCGGTATTTAAACGTTAGTAATGGTCTTAGTGTGTCAGTTGGACGTGAGAAGTGAGAGCGAACATGTCGTCTGAGGAGGGTGTCCCGGGTTCTTACGACCCGACGCTGACTGTGAACGTCAAACCGTCCAAGTCGAGCCAGTCACGCGGGAAGACGGCAGGCGAAACCGGGCTTCGCTTGAAACTTCTCAAACTCTTTCTGTCCGTACTTCTGGGGATAGTGGTCCTGGCGTGTTTCTCGCTGTCCCAACTTTCTGCGATCTCTCTTGTGAAACATCTACGTCTGCAAAACAATGGAAATGTCACTTGTAGGAATTCCAGTTCCACGGCTGAAAATGTCACTTGTTGTAGGAACTTCAGTTCCGCGGATGAAAATGTCACCTGTAGGAATTCTAGTTCCGTGGATAAACTTGCAGCTGGCTCCTGTGACGTGCCTGCTCTCATGGTGGTGTACATGATGTTGGTACCGTACGGAGTCTCCTTCTTACGAAGTTTGTGGAACGGCGCCTTCCAAGACTCCATGCCGTGGCCGCACCGAAAAGCTATCTGCCTGGTAAGTCATTTTTTACTAGAATTGAGAATCAAAAGTGGGGTCGACACGGAACCTAGAGGTCCCTGGTTCGAGTCCTGACATGCCACCAATATTGGGAAAGGCACTTTACACGACTTTCCTCACTTCGCTCAGGTGAAAATGAGTATTGTATTGCCCTATGTGTTGGTGGTAGCATTAATATAAGTTGAAAAAAACTTGAGTGTGCCGTCACCACGTCTTGTGATTACATGTTGGGAATAAAAGAAAAGTGAACAAATATGCCGATACATTCAGAAATCTAGACGGGGGAATATTTCTGTAATAGCTGTAGGTGTATGAGTGTATGTAGGTGAGTGTATGAAAAGTCAAGAATCAAATACAGGTTGAAGCGATAATTGTACAATACAACTTATGATGACAACGTCGAAAGTGTTTCAAACAATGCCAGTATGATGACTTTGCCGTTTGACTTCAAGTTCTATTGAGGGTTTCTTTCAAAACTCAAGCGATAAACTGAACGTAAGTTGTCTCTTTACAGTTAAAATGTTGATCAAAATTACATTAAAACATTCAAAACACAGTCAGGTACAAGGCATGAAATAACACAGGAAATTGAGTAGGTTGCTCGTAAAAGCTCGTTTGCAAGCCAACATGACATTAAGAAGGTGATAAAACAAGTCTTGTAGGGTACACTTTACCAGAATATGTATTATTAATAGCAGTTTGGTGTGCCAAAGTTACTATCTTATTTTCATGTCGCTGAATATTGACAGATATAATTTGTGCGACTAATGGATATACTAATAAATTATCAAGTATCAAGATACAGATTTTAACACTTCCAAAATATAAAATTATGTGGACAATCCGGAATCGCAGAATTATCTGAAAACTTGAGCGGACTAATTTGTAACTGACAGTAAAGACGTCAGCCAGAGTGCAGAGACACTTTAATGGGTAGGTAGTAAATAGTCCCATTCCCTTTCATAATTTACATTTCCTTTCGCATGTAAGCATATTTAGAATTTCTTGAAGTTGTTGCACAAAATTCACTGAAAATCACTTTCATACCCCTGGCATTGTTTGCAAATCGTGAAATATAGAGTTAAAACTTTTGGGTGGGTAAAAAGACAGGATCAAATAAGCCAGACAGTATCCAGTCGGTTTGATAAATGTTGTATGACAAATGGATCCTGCCTGGCTAATTAGATACAGTAACTGTCTTTTAAGTTTTTACCCACTTAAAAAATCTGCTTCGCCATTAGAGATTACAAAAGTGTTACAATGTATATTTCTCCCTTAAGGCATTTGTTACAAAATAACATGGAAACATAAAAGAAAGGACACGCTTTGGATTTGAATATTTCTGAAGCAGGCTATCCACTTTTTTTCTGGTAGGGGATTTGTCACGAAGCCTCTACAACACATTCACCACCGCCTCACAATAACCAACCAATCAGGGTTGCCCAAAGTCGGGAGCACACTAATAATAATAATAATAATAATAATAAATGGTTTATTGGCCAAACATCACCCGTGCAATCGCAGCCTTAAAGTGCTGAATTGATGCAGGGTTTACAATTAGATGATACGAATGGTAATAATACAGTCACATAATAATACACATAATACACAATGTCATGATACATATCTGTAGAACTGCCGCAAGGGTCTGTGCGGCTGCCATTAGGCGCCACAAGGTGATCAAAATACGACTTTCCCCAACCTTAGCTAGGTACCCATTCACACCTGGGTGGAGTGAGGAAATTCGTGTAAAGTGCCTTTCCCAAGGGCACAAAGTCGGGCGCATGTCCAGGGATCGAACCCGGGTCTCCCGATTCAGAGTCGAATGATCTATCACTACGCCACGCGACGCCACGTCAAATATTGGGCAGTGTTTTTTTTTTCTGCGAGGGGCTAGAACTGCGGTTTCTTCTCAGGGAGGGGGGGTGTCCGTGGAGAGTCCTGTACCCGCCCTCGGTAGAGGTTAAATTACCGCGGTGATTTTTTTGTATACTAAGGCCACACCGACTTCCTCTGAACACCCCCAAACTAGTGCGCGCGGGCGAATAAAAAACATTCCGGCCAAAAATAAAAATGCTACTAAACCATAGGAATACTTAGCTGGTATTGTGAATTTGCAGCAGTACATAGCGACGTATAAAACAAGCCGGCACATGCTGGCTTTTTGCGTAATTCATGAATCGGCACTATACTGAGTTCTTGAGTCGTGGAGCTTAGGTAGCCTGGGTGCCCGGCTCCGTATATTGTCGCTAACTACCATGGACTTGAGCCAGGCCAGAGCCTCGATGGACGTGATCTTTTTTTTTTTTTTTTTTTGAGAACAGGCAAAAATCAATGCGCGCGCGGAAGCCATCCATAAATTTAAGTCGGCGTGGCCTTAATAGTTCACCACAAAACAAGGCATATGAGTCGGAGAGAATGTAACATCGGTAACCTGAGAGAACCTCAGCCCGAGAAAGTAAGGAAACGACACGCCTTGACTTTGAATACCTGTGACAACAATTTGCTTTTATGTATTTTTCTGGTGGAACGTTTGTTTGAAACTGAACATGGATAATAGAGACAAAGAAAAAGAAAAAAAACGACACATGATGGTTTTGAATACCTGTGAAGTTTGTTAAGTATTTGTATCCGCCTGAGAAAGGACATTTTACGCGTGTCTGACTTCATGAACTGGGCGACATGAGACTGAGCAACACAGAACACAGTTGTATTGAGGGGGCACCCCGCAGTGGGTCTCAATACCCTCAGCTCTAGCGACCGTCTCTTTCAGGAAATACCTCTTGAGCCAAAACACTGTGTTTGCAAATGAAGGACATTCCTCTAGCTACGAGAACAATAGAATTTCAATTTCTTTCAGCTCTCACATTTTTGTAAATTTTAGGGGGGGGAAGAATTTTATATGAAAAATGATGCCAAAAATTGGCCATTTTCACGTGGAATTAGACCCATCACCCAGAATTTAGCCACCAATATGACTTATATGGTCGGAAAGAGAAAACCCTTATGTATCATTAAGAAAAGTATACAGAAAATCCTAACACGCACATCTAGGTCAAACCGAAGCACCGCGTTGACGGCGAAAGGACAACCGGAAGTAAACCTCGGGCCCGAAATCAATTTTCACCCAGATGGGTGGCATGTCAGGACTCGAACCCGGGACTCTCAGTTCCGAGCCGCGCACTCTGCCGCTACGCCACACGACCCCACGACCCCAGGTATTGGGTTTGTCGCGCTTTCATGTGAAACGTCCGTCAAGTAAGGTAATTGTCCTTGTAACATCTGAAGTGGCACTGTTGTACCTGAGTCATTCAAGTACGCAAGACTACTTGAAGAGTTTAATGTGCAAATTAACTACTCACACACATGGATTTGAAACAAAAAGACGGAAGTACCGTACACGGTTGACACATGCTAAACTCCGTCTATGTGGATAGAATTTTTTTAAAGGCTTAAAGCTGGAAAGAATAGTAGTTTATATACATGTATGTGCCATAGAAAACTGAGCTCAAGGTGCGAAAATATTAGCAGGAGTTATCCGATTTAACGGGAGTCCTCTTACTCGCTTTCCTAAGAAAACGGACAGGCGAGTGCGGGGACCCCGTTACCAAACGGGCGGCACCCAGGCTAGCGTATGTAAAAATAGCTGAAGAATTCATTGTACACCTTTTAAAGCTACGGTCTGCTGGTGTCAGAGTGAACAGAGTCACTTAGCGTCTACTGTTGACATGACGACCTTCTTAGTGATGGTAAATATTTGTCCACTAAGTCTGCCCTACGTTGACATTGTAATGCCGAATTCTGTCTGGTGGCTGTAAGTTTAAATGCTGTTAGACTATACCTTAGACTGGATACACGGTTAGAACCGTGAAGTGATAATACCTCGAGTTTCGAGTTAAGTTACGGTCGTTGAGTGACATATACTCTCATTTTCAATTTTCAAAATGCTCAGGAAAATAATTTTCGGGCGTTTCCTTGTCATCTCTTTACACCAAGGATTAAAGTCTTCGGTCACTCATGTCCAATGTGGTCGCTCAGCAGTTTCCATCCGGTAGAACGTAAGAGGAATTTGGAGGTGTGGTTGAGGAAATTCTAAAAACAACACAGTGATCAGCGGGCCTTTCTATATTCCCTCCTACCTCGATCAAAACATAAAGATGCAACTATTCAACCGATAAATATGCAGCCACTCCCATTGTCCGAACCGCTAATTGTCATGTTAGGTGGAAGGTGGTCCTGTGATTAGGGTTGCTGACTCAGAACCTGATTTTTTATACCAATCTTTCATGACTAGATATGGTGACAGCACACTCAAGTTATATCAAGTTATATTGTTTTATGCCGTCACCAACGCAGTTAAAGGACAAATACGGAACAGGACAATACTAATTTCCACCTGAGTTAAGTGAGAAAAGTCGTGTAAAGTGCCTTTCCCAAGAACACAAGATCGGTGCCATGTCAGGACTCGAACCCGGGGCCTCTTGGTTCCGAGTCGAGTACGCTGCCGCTACGCCACACAACCTGACTGTTCGCGGGCACCTGTCTAAGATTATGACGTCACGTGTGCTGACCAGTATATCGTGTGTTCAGGAGAAGGTACATGTAGATAAAGGTACCATTCACAGGAAGGACTTAAAGTCGCAATGACGTTCTCGACACAAACCCATCACCCGTCTTATCGGATGGGACGTTAAATGGAGGTCCCGTGTTTGAGGAGAGACACACCTCAAGCACGTAAAAAAACCCACGTGAGTGGAAGTGGAACAAACCATTATGGTTTAAAATGAGGTAGGGAACTTTAGCGACCAGCCTCGTAACCCCTGCTTCTCCTATTGGGTCAGTTAGTCCTCACTACTTTTTGGCTGGTCTCAATCATAATGTTTCTGACTCAGGGAGAAGAGTTGCTGTTACAGTTCTACTCGGTAACCCGTAACCCAGGTGGGTGATCATACCATTCAGGTGGTAGCGTCATTCACCTTGAAGTGGCCTAACGGCCG